GGTGTTAAGGGATATAAGTTTTGGGATCTAGTGGATAAGAAGATTGTGCTGAGTAGGGATGTCACATTCGACGAAGCTTCTATCTTAAAGCTTCCCAGCTCTCATCAGGTGGAGAGCGACCCGACGGAGGAGATATCGCAGGTGGTGGAGATTGATGCAGCTCCACATTATCCAGATGGTACAGTATCCATGCAAGTGCCGACTGAGGTGACGCCAGGAGAGCACGACAGTGATACGGAGGATACGGGTACTGACACTACAAGAAATTACGTCTTTAACGAAGGGATTTCCCTTCGTTAAAGAGCTGAAAACCTTCGTTATTGTATGCTAACGACGGGAAAAAATCCTTTCGTCACCCGTCGTTAAAGCCCTCTTCGCTAAAGGGTCACGAAGGGATATACTACCCGTCGTTATAGAGTCTATAACGACAGAACATATTACCGTCATTAATATTTACGACGGTAATTATCACCGAATATTTACGACGGTAATTATCACCATCGTTACCATCAGTAACGGGGATATTTTCCCGTCGTTACCATCAGTGACGGGATATTTTCCCGTCGTTACCATTAGTTACGGGGATATTTTCCCGTCGTTACCATTAGTTACGGGGATATTTTCCCATCGTTGAAGACTAATTAATGACGGTTGGATACCGTCGTAAAAGTTCTCATAATGGGTAATTAGTAACCCATCAACGACGGTGCTTTCCCTTCGTTGATGAACAAAATACGGTTTATAAAACCGTCATTATAGACTACAAATTTCTAATATACATCAATAATAATTTTTTCATTCATAGGCGTAACTATCATATTATTCTCACCCAGACACTAAGATTCACAACAAAGACATATTAAAAATACCCAATAATGAATAAGAGGTAAAATAAAAATTTCATTCATTAATAACATCAATAAATAAAATTCCACCATCCTCAAATATTCAATACTAATAATAAGAGTTAATATCCTAATTGTTCCAAAGAAAAATACATGAAACTTTCTAAAACAAATTAAAATAAAAGTTTGGGGAAGACACATCTCTAACACCTCTAATCATCATCAAAAGAAGACTCGAGCTACCCCATCCTAATCTTGCATGGATAGCCTGAAAAATTTAAAAAATCACATAATTAAGAAATATCAATTAAGCAAACATTATCTTATTAAGTAAAAATCATATTTTTTTAGTGCAAGTAGTCAATCATAAAAGTATATAAGAGATTTTACAAAAAATAATTACCTAATCCTGCACACGTTCTTGAGTTTGAGGAGCCAATGAAGGTGATTGCCTAAAAAAAAAGTTTTTGCATAGCTTTCACTTGTGACTCCAACTCAGACATCCTTTGTTGTTGTTGCTCCTGCTCATCTAAGCGTTGTTGAAGCATCTGGTTCTTTCTCTTTTCTTCTATAACCCGTGCTTCCAGATCAGATCGACTAGGGAGCGGTCCTCTCAAATCTTTCAAAGTAGTCCCGCCACCAAATACAGTGATGTGACCATGAGATTGCTTCCCCCAGATTTTCTCAACTATCTCAATGTCAGAAAGTGAAGGGTTTGCTTGTTTGACTTGAACAATTTCATCCTATAAAAATTAAATCCATATGTTAGCACTATATAATACATCATTATCAAACTTAAACACATATTCTACTTACATATTTATCTTGATCCCCATTTTCTAGTGTTTCATTAGCTTTCTTTCGAGTTTCATGAAACATTTTTGCCACATCAGGTGGATTTCCTGACTTGCCACCCTTATTCAAATATTAAATAAAAATGAGTACAACATCAAACTAAAAAACAAAGTAGTTATAAATAAATAAGAAATTAGTTTTGAATGTATACCAATTCCCACGCAATTTGTCTAAAGGATTTGCTGCCCGTGTGGTGGAGCATCTTTCTTTTGCCTCTGTTAAGTGTATTTTGTTGGCTTGCTTTCTATACATCAAGATTAAAAGATAATTTTAACAATCCAACAATATACATGGAACAAATTAATTAATAAAATTAGGAGATTAATACCTGGAATTTTGAAGAAAAATAATGTTCCTTAACTAGCCAATCCCAGTCATCAACACTCACTTCTGTAGGTTTATTTCTAAGTGCAACTTGCAATGAATTTTCTTTCACATATTTCCTGTGCATGTCACCACGCCACTTATTCCACAAATCGCGCAAGTGTCTCATTACTAACTCTCTCTTTTGCTCCATGTCCTCAGCATCAAATTTATCCTATATCAAATTTGAATCAAAATTTAATTTATAAGAATTAAAAACCAAATGCATTTAATTAATTTTCAATGTACCTTAATGGATGCCCACATATGATCTTTATTTTGCTGTGGTATTTTGGCCCAATTCTCAACAGCTACTGGGCAAATATTTCTATCTCGAATAATAATTCCAAGATATCGTGAAAATTCTGGCTCAATAGCTCTATTCTGATAAAAAGTAATGATCTTTTTCTCCCCATGTGACAAATTATTCAACTTTAGACTTATTATTACCACGAGGTGGATTTTTCTTCTTATGAGAATTATCAGCTGCATACATCATATCATATGTTAGAAACAAGATATAGGTAAAAAGAAATTGATAAAAATATTACTTCTTGTAATTAATAAAGAATATACCTTCTTGTCGAGATTCATTTAGTATTACATCATCACTTTGCACTCGATGATTATTTGATTCTGCAAAAAATTGAGCAATTATTAATCCAATCATAAAAAATAAATTGAAAGATAAAAAAGAAATAATAATAAATTTTAAGTCTCATCAACCTGCAGAATCATCATTCTCTTCATTGTTAGTATTTGCACTTCTCCTGCGATTAGTTTATTTAAGCTGTAACTATTTTTGAAGAAATATATGAAACTTCCTCTTTCAGATGGGAAATAAAGGAATTTTGTCCACTTTCTGAATGGATTCTCGAGTCACGAGGTTATGATTTCTCCTTCCAATAAGGCATTATGGAGATACTGTGTTTACAATCTATTACCCAGACCTTACCTCTTTCAATATAGGAACTTCACCATCTTTGTTGTAAAACACTTCAACCCAAAATGGTATCAGAGCTACTAATAATATTCCTTTATCTATTGCATGGGGAAGGAATTCATGTGGCAAACTGAAGGCCTACCTTTCAGTAGTTATTTCGTTAATAAAGAAATAACAACATTAAGAGTATTTCCTATTAGTGCATCTACCAGCAACTCAAAGTTGCACCTCCCAGGTGTTCATTTTGGAGAGAAGAGTGTTGGGAGGTATTTATCTTATACGACTAATGCAGACTCTCTTATTACTCACAATAAACAGGAAACTAGATGATAAACTCCAGCACTACCACAGTGCTGGACTGTACTGCTGAGGAAGGAGAGACATTCAAAGCGAAGAACTTGGAGCTTTTTTACATGTAGCTCCGGAGCTAATGAAAAGACTTCACAACTAATTAGAGGGTGGGGTTTACTTGGAAGATTTTGCTTCTAGAGTGATTGACATTACTTTAGCTGTAATTATTCCTTTATACATTCTGTTGATGTTGAGAAGGTGGTACTATCACATAAAATGTGAGAAATTTTTTTGACAAGTAACAAGGGCAGTTCATAAATTTTAAGGTCAAAGCTGTCATACGTTGCTTGTCCCGAAAAACAAATATAGAAAACATCAAGGACATTGGAAGAAAGACAAATTTTTATTAAGCATGCAAAGTGCGTCACCCTCTGTGTTACATGTTATCTCCATAGAAAATAACTGAATAGTGTTATCAAGCAACTAGGTTCAAAATTTGAGCATGCTTGGATTGACAAAGAGGTATGCTAATTAGAAAAGGTGCCAAAGCGCATTTTGGCTTCTGAGCATGAAGCTACTTACAGTCTGAGCAACTCAAAAGCGGAATGAAGCAATCAAATAGCTTTGGGAACTAACAAATTATGTCTAATAACCATCTAAATCAAACACCATTTTACTCATGGGATTGGATTCAGCTAACATATTAAGATCAAGGAGTATATCCTAATAATTGGTGGAAGCAACCTCCGTAGTAATTAGGCTAATTGTAGGTCCAATCCAGCAACCTACCACAAAAAGAAAGAAAACAATGTCCAGATGGATGCTTGGATCACTAATAAAGTTATTGACAAGGTATTTTAGTGCAATTAATACACTCAAATTATTGACAAGGTATATTAATTGGAATATATGCAGTGAATTAATTGGATACAACTATAGCAATTAATTGCAAGGTATATTAATTGGAATATATGCAGTGAATTAATTGCAAATTGTATAAGATTTGTATACAACTATAGGTACTTTAGTGCAATTAAACAAAACAAGGGTATATTAATTGCAAAGTAGGGGAAACTATAGGTACTTAAGTGAAAATTAAACCAAACAGGGATTTAATTGCAAGGTATATTAATTGGATACAACTATAGCAATTAATTGCAAGGTATATTAATTGGAATATATGCAGTGAATTAATTGCAAATTGTATAAGATTTGTATACAACTATAGGTACTTTAGTGCAATTAAACAAAACAAGGGTATATTAATTGCAAAGTAGGGGAAACTATAGGTACTTAAGTGAAAATTAAACCAAACAGGGATTTGTTCCTTACCGTGGACGGACGTGATTCTGGTGAAAGAAGTACAACTATAGGTACTTTAGTGCAATTAAACAAAACAAGGGTATATTAATTGCAAAGTAGGGGAAACTAGAGGTACTTAAGTGAAAATTAAACCAAACAGGGATTTGTTCCTTACCGTGGACGGTGGTGGTTCTGGGGAGAGTTGAAGGCGGCAGTGGGGAAAACGCGGCGCTGGGGTGGCGCTAGGACGGTGCGGTGGTGGTTCTGGGACGAGGCCGGCGGTGGGGCGGAGCTAGAAGTTGCTCCGAGGCAGACGATGATACGAATCGAGACTGTGGCCACGAATCGAGACTGCGCGGGGTTTTTGCTTGGTCGGCGTCGGCTAGGGCTGCGCTGAGGTAGCGGCAGACGATGATACGAGTCGGCGAGAGACTGTGGGGCGGCGGGCGAGGAGTTGAGAAGATGAACAGTATAAGCGATTTTCAACAGACGATGGGGAAGAGTTGAAACAGAGGCAGCGGAGGCGTGAAATCGATGAACAATAGGCGATAGAGTTTGTTATTAGGGTTTAGTTTATAATTAGTTGCGGTTAATTGGAGTTTTGGGTTTTGGGTTTTTTATATTATTTTCAATAATAATCCAGTTAAGATTAGGAGTTATGATTAGTAAAGGTAATTGACTCCTTCGTCTTTTAGGAGACCCAATAATGACGGTATTAGAACCAAATCAACGAAGGGATTAGAAAACCGTTATCTCATCTCACATCATTACTCTAATAATTGTGATAACTAGATGAAGGGCTTTTAAACCGTCGTTATTTTACACACATTAATGACGGTCAACTGGTCCCTTCACTAATTTTGGTTGTTAAATATCAGATTTCTTGTAGTGTGATGTGCAGGATCAGGAACCGACGGCTCAGGTTCAGGATCCTATTGCGGTTCGGAGACAGAGGAGAAACATACAGATGCCAGCACGGTATGCCGACACAGTTGCGTATGCACTTCCGGTGGAGAGTATCGATAAGTTAGTGCCTACTACATTCAGAGAGGCCGAACAGAGTTCAGAGGCTGATTCGTGACAAGTGGCTATGCAGGAGGAGATGAAATCTCTTCATAAGAACGATACATGGGAGCTTGTTGAGCTTCCAAAGGGGCGGAAGGCAATTGGTTGCAAGTGGGTATACACGAAGAAGGAGGGCATTGAAGGCACTCCATTGAGGTTCAAAGCTAGGTTGGTTGCGAAGGGCTATGCACAGGAGGAAGGTATTGACTATAATGAGGTTTTCTCTCCGGTGGTGAAGCACTCTTCGATTCGGATTTTGCTAGCTTTGGTGGCACAGTATGGTTTGAAGTTAGATCAGTTGGATGTGATGAAGAAATATATATGACTCAGCCATTGGGATTCCGAACTGCAGGGAAGGAAAAATTAGTTTGCAAATTAAAGAAATCGCTATACGGTTTGAAGCAGTCTCCTTGACAGTGGTATAGGTGATTCGATGGTTTTATGATTGGTCATTCGTACACTCGGAGCCAGTTTGATCATTGCGTATATTTTCACAAGTTGAAAGGAGGTGCGTACATTTATTTGTTGCTCTATGTCGATGACATGTTGGTTGCCTTTATTTCCAGGTCGGCTATAGATAAATTGAAAGTTCAGCTATCAAATGAGTTTGAGATGAAGGACTTGGGTGAGGCGAAGCGCATTCTAGGGATGGAGATCGGCAGAGACAAGAAGAAGGGCAGAATTTGTTTGACACAAGTGGCTTATTTGAAGAAGGTTCTACAGCGATTCCATGTTAGCATGGATACGAAGCCAGTTAGTGTACCTTTGGGAGCCCATTTGAAGCTTTCAGCTGGTCTTTCACCGAAGTCAGTTGAAGATCGTGAGTTGATGTCGAAGACTCCATATACGAGTGCGGTTGGAAGCTTGATGTATGCGATGGTATGTACGAGGCTGGATTTATCACAGGCGGTAAGCATGGTTTCGAGATACATGCATGATCCAGGAGTGGGTCATTGGGACGCCGTGAAATGGATTTTGAGGTACATTCGAGGTACGCTCAATGTTGGTTTAGTTTATGAGCGGGACACTACAGGTGGGCAGCTATGCATTGGCTATGTTGATTCGGATTATGCCGGGGATTTGGATAAGCGCCGGTCTACGACGGGGTATGTGTTCACTTTGACCCGTGCGCCGGTGTGTTGGAGATGCACCTTACAGTCGACGGTGGCTTTGTCTACGATGGAGGCAGAGTATATGGCAGTTACGGAGGCTGTGAAGGAGGCTATTTAGCTTCGAGGACTTTTGGAGGAACTTGGTATATCGCAGAAGTCCGTCACTATTCATTATGATAGCGTGAGTGCTATATATTTGGCGAAGAATCAGGTTTTTCATGTGCGGATGAAGCACATTGATGTTCATTATCACTTCGTTCGAGATGTTCTTGAAGATGGCGATGTGGAGATTGTGAAGGTTCACACGAAGGATAATCCGGCAGATATGCTCACTAAGGTGGTTCCGAACAACAAGTTTGATCATTGTCGAAACTTGTTGCACATTCGTGATTGTTGAGGCCGTTGGCGGCCATTTGGGTGAACTACGTTCGGCTTGATTCCTTGGGCAAGAGGATACGTAGGCAGTCTTTCAGATGCAGCCGGTTTGGATTAGTTGATGGGGATGAGATTGTTTGGACTCTCGTTCGGGTTCTCGACTTGTTATGGATTGAGTTCGTACTGGACATGGGACATTTGGTTGCTTTGGTGTCGGCTCAGTTTTGGGAAAACTTCACCGAGGTGGAGAATTGTGAACATGGCTTCTTGGGGGG